TTCATTTGGATTCTTCCTACAACATATGTTTATTGTTGACACTTTCAAAATTTTGATTCAAAAAAAGAAAATGAAAATTATGACCATACTTCAAAGAGATTATTTATAATTTATGTTCATCTTTAAGAACTTTATCTGTTTTATTTTTACAGATGTAAAACATCTGTATTTGTGTATTTTTTGTACTATTGACTAACTATAATCTTAATGCTTGGAAAATTCATGCAATTTTTGCCAGTAAGAAAGCATTTTTGTTGCATGACAGTATTGTGCAGCCTGAAAGGTGGCACCAAGCAGTTCTTTTTCCTTACCGTTCAGAGATGCTGCATCTGCCAACATCCTAAGTCTACCTTTCAGATAGTAGGACACTTTCAGCATCTCTACACCTTTACTCCTTAGCCTATGGCTACAGTTCTGTCACACTGCCACCTGGATTTTTCCTGTTACTAGCACTGAGGTCTGGAAAACTTGGAGGTAGAAAAAGGAGCATATATGAACATGAAATTCTGGGGGTCCAGTCCAGGGGGAAGAACACTGAAGTGAAATGATGGTTCATGTGTTTCTTGTCATTGCAATGACAAATCTTACAAGTAACTAACCACTTACCCAGCTAATGATGGTCAATTACTATCAAAAAAGTTAGTGGGATATACAATAATGTCTCTGGTTTTTCCTTCCAAAGACTCATCATGCAGTTCCATAGGGGTGGAAAGATAAACGTTGATAATAAAATCCCACACTTGCCTTTGGTTCTTTTGCTTCATCTTATAATTCTTGTGAAGAGACTAAACCTTGTGGAAAATGTTCTAAAAATGGAAGATCAAGATTGACAAGACATAGGCCAGGGATATAACTCAGTGGCACCGTGCCTACCTAGAAAACACAAGGTTGAGTTTGACTCCTGGTACCTTAAAAAAAGAGCTACAAAAATATGCCAAGGAAACACAACAGGAATGTGACATGAGAGGTCACCAAGGAGCCCGTGGGACTTAGCACTGCTCAGTGGCTCCAGGCCATGGACATGAGGGTTCTACTGTGTGATGTCACCAGCTGCTCCTTGCTCACCAAGCTACATGTGTGGGAAGAGGACAAATGCATTGCCAATTTCTTCCTCTAGGAAACACAATGAGCTCTGATATTTAGCTCCTCTTCTCCTTCCCATTACTTTCAGTCCCTTTGCACCAGATCAAAGAAGCAAATACTTCTGTCCCTCACTCCTGCCCATGGTCTCTAGCAATTCCATAGCTTTGAAGGAAGAGAAAGACTCTTCCTTCAAGAGGGAGGGAAGGACTCATTAGCCTAGGAACTGAAGAAACAATTAAAAGTTGGAGAAAACGCTTTCAGCGTTTATCCCACAGGGAACTTGGGACAGGAGAGATGCAGCATTGCAGAGGAGCTGGGTATGGGACAGATGGGACAAGGACTCTGCCAAAGCAAGTAATTGCCCTCAGGGGATTTCTGGGCTCCTAAGAGTTCTTGGCCAAGACTGACAAAATAAAACCTCCACTCCAGGCAGAGGAGGTGAACCAGACTCAGTGGCACCTCCTTGTCCAAAATGAGTCCTGTGAATGAGGTGGACACTCAGCCCTGGTGAGTCTCCACAGGGAGAGCTGAGAGTCGTGTTGATGAGCTGGATCTTCTGTGATGCTAGGGTTGTCTTTGGTCTCTCCAGTATGCATTTCTCACTGGCCGGCCATATTGGAGGCTCTTTGAATTCCTTCCATGACAGTAGTGACATAGCTCATTGTGTTCAAGATATACAGTGGAATTCCCACTCTTAGGCAGCCAGATAGGCAGTAGATAAATACTGCAAAAAAAAAAGGTATAGAGGACAGCTATGTTCTTAGTCTTGAGTCATTTGTATTGCTTTGGAGATAGAAGCAATGAGAATGGTTGGGACTGGTATAAGGTCCAAAGGTAGATACAGACTTCCAACTTCTTTGAAAACAGAGCTGTTATGTATTCTCATCCAACAAGAAGCATAAATCCATGGGACTAACACAAGTTTAGTCTCTGTACTGTGAAAGCAGTGTTAGGGGCCATGCCAATCATTCCACCACCACCCCCACCCAGTTACAGATGTTTCACAAGGCTACAACCATTTCAGCCTTGATCCAAGTGGTTTTCTCCTTTCCTCACTTCCCTATTCCTTTAGTCTCTGGTTATTAGTTCAGTGAATTCTACTGATTTATGTCTCTCCAGTTTGGGGAGTTAAATCTTGATACTTTCATCCTGACATTCAATAACCCTTGATATCTTATTGCTCATAATTCCATTAGCTATGTACACTTAGAATAAGTACACACCAAAAATTTACCCTTTTATATTGCTTTAAATAATAGTTTTATGTACATAACATTTGTTTATCATGAATCTTTAAATCTGGAAAAAATCTTAATGTTTATGCTTATCCTGATTTGCTCATTCTACTTCCCGAAATTATGCCTTCAAAGTATACTGTTTGACCCAAGAACACATAGGTGGTTGATTAACCCAGACAGAAGGTGAGATCCCTTTGTCTAAGTGTACCTTACACCACATCTGTGCTCAGGAAGTGAAGGCACTGGTTGGGTCTTTTCTATCATATGGCCACTTGCCTGTGAACATGGCCAGACTCTGTGTCTCCGATTACCAAATTGAAAGTCCAGCTTCCTGCAAACACTGATGAGCTCATGGTGACTCAGCTTACCCACCCTCCTTGCAAGCTGAGCTCCATTCACTCCCTGCTCATCCCCTCATTTGCCACTGGACTAGGTACTAGCCAGGACACAGTGTTTATGAAATTAGGCCAAGTAGAATGAAAATCTGTGATTATCCTGAGAGCTGAGAACAATGTTATCTGTAAGTGAAAATAGTTTGCTATCATTTAAAATCAGCATCAAAACTGTACTGGAATAAAAGATAATGCATTCATGCTGCACACAGCAGTAGGGGAACACTCTGCCTTAATTTTTCAGTAAGCAGGTTTTCTATAATTAAATGATTTGCACAATAAAACTTACTGTAAGGAGGCTTTATGATCCACAAACTGTTAACTTTCTGAATTTCAAGACCACATATTCATATTGTTTCTTGTCCTCCTATCACTGAGAAGAATTTACCACAGTGAGACGAAGGAGCTGTTTCTATACAATGTTACTTACGTTTTATTTAAAAATTTTACAAAAGATATTCACTTACAGCATTCATCTGAATTCACTCAGAGTAGTTTAAAGTAGAGATATGGTTATTCACCATCTTGAAAAGAAACTGAGGTTCAGGAAGCTGCCCAAAACAAGATGAGAGAGTAGCAGACCAGGGCTCAAATCAGTGGATTTCTCATGGCAAGCTTTCCCCCCTGCAACACACGATGCAACACAGCTGTCCTGAGCTTCCCTCCCAAGATTCCTCTTTTTCTTTCCTAGTTCACATCTAGACACGGCTCCTTCAGGCCCTCTCTAATATACCCAGCAAAAGTTAACAAGTTGGATCAGGCTCGAACCTGATTCCCCCTTTGGTTCCCAGGTAGAACTGGAACCAGGAAAATAACCCTGTTCCTGTTCCCTGGTGTCTTTGTTTAGAAAATGAAACACATGGAATGTTTGGTCTCTATTGTTATTTTTCTTTTTAGCAATTTTGATCTCTTTCTGGAGGAACTCTTGATCCCTGGCACCAACCCTGAAAGTGAGGATTGCATCTGCAGTAACAAGTGGCCTACAGATGGCAGCAGATCCAAATGGAGTAACTTCTTAGACAAGGCAAGGCTCTGGGCGCAGCATGGGCTCCGTGGCAGTACTCAGAGTCCCAGCCACTGCCCTCTCAGTTCTGACCCCACAAGCTGATCTTCACCCAGGAGCATCCACAGCCAGGAGAACTCTGGCCACCATAAAACAGACCTCACGGGAGGCAGCAAACTCCTGCCCCATGCAGACCTTCTGCTCTCTCCTCCACAACAGGAATCCAGCTGCTATTTCCAGCCAGGAGAAACATTGAGTAAGTTATGCTTTTCAGTCTCTTGAATTTGATTTTGTGGCTCCACTCTGGATTTCTTAACACTGATGTATTGCATTTGTCCTCTGTTTGGTTCCGGTGATTTTCAGATGTGCTCTAGTTGGCTTCCCACAGATTTTTACCAAGAACCAATTATTAAAATTGTTATTTGATTCTGTGGCATTGATGATCTACACACAAAATCTTGACTTTGAAAAGTGGAGTTCCCCAGAGTTTGGTTGAAAGCGTAATGCCTGATATACTCAATACAGCTTTCAATAAATGAATAATTAACTTACTAATTATATTTACAAAGCAAAAGATACACATAGAGATAATATTGCTGTTAAGCAAAATGGATTGTTTCTAGAGGACCTGTTGGCATGCTGGAAGGAAAAAGACCTAGTGCAACCCTGAATGAAAAAAGACACACCAGACCATTTGAAATTCAGCGCATTTCTATCACTTTCTGTGCATAACAACGTGGATGTCATTGCCTTCCAAACGCTCTCAAGAATTTAGGTTTCAGTTATTTAAGTAATTAAATAAGTGATTGTAGCTCACTTGATTAGCTGCACCTTTTGAGAAGTAATAAGTATCGTGGTAATTTAATTACAATGCTTCAAATTTAATTAGTGAAATAATATTGCTCCTCTTCTTCATACCACTTTCCACAATGAACCTTAATTAATATTTTTGTAATTATTAATTTAAACTTTTTGTCTCCAGTTAAATGACAAGAATGAAGAACATGGAAGCCACACATTTCTGAGTTTCTGACTCACAGGCAGGCATCTGAAGCTGAGTACCGTTTCTGGCACAGCGCACAGCTAAACAAAGGTTGGCTCTAAAACTCTTAAGCTCCATTTGCACTGAGGACCATGTGTCTGATTGACCACTGTAGACACGGCCAGCCCACACTGCAGGATTCTTCCTTTCTTGGTTTCCTTTCTTGGTTTCAAACTTCCCTAAATTCTTTCCACTAACTCTCTATTTGCTTTCCTTTTACCCTTTTTTCTATCATTCTTCCCTACAGCTATTTTCCTGGTATCTTTCTTTTTATATTGATAAATGGCTTCCTATTGAATTGGACCAACCCAGAGTGCTGAACATTACAGATACAAACATCACTTGAGAACCTAATTGCTTAGTGTCAGAGCCCAGTGTCCCTTTCCCACTGTCTTCATGCACTGTCCTCTAATCTTCCAGGATAAAGAATCCCACCTCAGTGACCCTGTATCCTCTCACATCACAGGTGGGGGATTAACTCAAGACTCCAAAAGTGAGTCCTTTACCTGCTCATTCTCACATTGTTGCCCCAGCCCAGCAGCCCATCCCACCTGCTCCATGAGGAGGGACAACGTGACCTGGGTGAGTGAGTTTGTCCTAATGGGTCTCTCAGATGACAGACAGGCCCAGGCTGGGCTCTTTGTGCTCTTTGGGGCCACCTACCTGCTGACCCTGCTGGAAAATGGGCTCATCCTCCTCTTGATGATACTGGACACCAGACCACCTGCTCATGTACTTCTTCCTCTGCCACCTTGCAGTTGTGGACATTTGCTACACCTCCAGTGGAGTCCCACAGATGCTGGCACACTTCCTGCTGGAGAAGAAGACCATCTCCTTTGCCCGATGTGAGACCCAGCTCTTCTTCACCTTGGCCCTCGGGGGGACTGAGTTTTTGCTGCTGGCTGCCATGGCCTATGACCGCTATGTGGCCATCTGTAAGCCCCTGCGTTACATGGCAGTGATGAGTCCCAGGCTCTGTGTGGCACTGGCTGGTGTCCCTTGGCTCATGGGCCTGGCTAACTCTTCCTTGGAGACAGCAGTCACCACACGCCTGCCCACCTGTGAGCACAATGTGCTGAACCATGTGGCCTGTGAGACCATGGCACTGGTCAGGCTGGCTTGTGTAGATGTCACTCTCAAACAGGTGGTCATAGTGGCCTCCATTATGGTGGTGGTGCTGCTGCCCTGCTGCCTGGTCTTTCTGTCCTATGTTCACATCATGGCCTCCATCATGAAGATCCACTCCACCCAGGAATGCTGTAGAGACTTTGAGACCTGCACCTCTCACCTCACCGTGGTCTCCATGTCTTATGGGATGGCCCTCTTCACCTACCTACAGCCCCACTCCAAGGCCTTACCAGAGCAGGACAGGGTGCTAGTGCTCTTCTACGCTATGGTGTCCCCCATGCTGAACCCTCTCATCTACAGTCTGAGGAACAAGGACATCAAGGCTGCTGTAAATCAGGTTCTGATGCAGAGTTCGAGGTCTAAATGGTAGGTGGTGACTTTTAGTTGAAAGGGCTCCTCTCTAGGGACATTGATCACTGAATTAGGAATGGCCAGCACAATACCCAAGAGTTAATCTGGCTGAGCATGTGACACTGTGTGCGTGTCCCTGACAGGTGGTAGGACAGTGATCTGTGCTCCTCTCTCCTGTTGTAATAGGGATGTGGGGGTTTCTCTGGACTCTATTTTAGGCCCACAGGCCCACATCTCATTCCAAAGGAAAGGAATTACACTGCCTGAAAAATACATATGGCTGTGTAAGAATAGATAATTATACTACTAATCTGTGTTAGATCATCAGAAAGAACCGTTGTATTTTCGTGGTTTGATTTCTTGATCATCTTTTCATACCTACATCTTGTAATCTGAAAGAATACTTGGAAGATAACAGTACGCACTCTATGAACCAGTGTTAACCTCCTGTTTTTCTATTTTGAAATTTTGTATAATCATTTTTATTCCTTTTTCATTTTAAAATTAAAAAATACATATGTCCTAATAGAAAGTTAAGTGAAATATAGTCATTTTCTTTAATGAAGAGAGAGAAAAACAATATATCAGCAGATATGAATTAGAAATGAGATTACAACAGCAGTCAGGGCAGTGCCCACAGTTTATGCCAAGAAAGTCTATTTCCTTTCTAAAATCTGCAAATCTAAATCTAAATCTCTTCCCTAATCATCGAGAAGGAGGAAAATGAGCTGTAAGTTACACGGTGTCCCATGCCCATGGGATCCCACAGGCCTTGGTTCAGAGGGGCAGAAGTCCTGTGAGCCATGTAAGGTGCAGCCCATCTCACGAGGGGGGGGAACGAACTTCCAGGGCATCCGGGGCCAAAGTCACTGTCTTGGTCCCCACAACTGGACTGTGTGAGTCACACGGGCGTCATTCTGCTGTCTCCCTTTCCAACTAGCAGGGAAGGCTAACAGCAGACCAGAGAGATGCACGTCCAGGACCTCAAGCCAATATATCTCTGCACAATGGATTCCCAAGGCTGTGCCCTTGGGGTTATCCTCTACTATACATAAATAAATGATTCAATTTTAAATATACTACATCATAAAGCAAAACAGTGATAGTTTTATTTTTATATTGAGAAATGTTTCAAGAAACTTTTCAGAACCAGACTTAAGTGTCTCACACAAATATCACAGATTTGTGATGTGTTTTGCCCACCAAAAATGTTTAAAAGAAAATTGTGAACAACTCAAGCTTTTACTCTAAGTGTTGAGAAGATAATGTCAAGTGTTGATGAGGACAAAAGGGAGCATTTCCTTAACTCTAGTAAAAGTTTTATCAAGATAAAATTCAGGGAACAAAGGAAAAATTCACATTTGCCCCTTACGGTCTGTAGCAGTTGCTCCATCCACGGCACCACGCTGCCTCACACCTGCTGGCTCAGAGCATCTTCATCTTCCCCAGAAGGACTCCTCATTCCCATCAGTGATCACTCTATGCTTCAGCTCCTGACAACACCGGTGTATCCTAGCCAGGGATTCGCCAATACAGACACACGCATTCACGGAATCCTGAAATATAGGTTCTTTTCTTTTTCTCTCATTTGGCATAATGCTTGTGAGTACTTCACACTTTAAAGGCTAAATCACATTCAATTTGCCTACCAACCGCATTTATTCCATTATCATATGATGCACATTTAGATATTTTAGATTATTCTGAATAGTGTTACTGTGAGCATTCATGTACAAATTAGTCATTTACTACCTGTTGTCAGTACTTGGTAGACACCTAGGATTGAAACTACTGTGTCCTATGTTATGTCTGAAAGGCACAGGGAAAACCTCTGAGAAATTTTTTGGGCAATACTTCCTTGGATAGGATCCAAACACACGAGTTAAATAAATAAATAAATAAATAAATAAATAAATGAGAGTACAGCAAATTAAAACCTTTTCAAAGCAAACACAATGTACAGAATGAAGACACAGCCCATGAACTAAGGAAAAATATTCTCAAAGCATGCTTGTGATGAACAGATAATATTTAAAATACATAAAAAGAAAAACACAACAACAACAAAAATGATTTATCCCCACTTAAAAATAGAAGAATGATCTCAATAGACATTCCTCTAAAGAAGAGATATCAATGGCCAATAAATACATACAAAAATGTTTTATATCTCTACTCAAACTCATCCCGCAAGGAGTCCCCTCACATTGTTAGGATGGCTGTTATTGAAAGTTAAGTGAAAGCTGGTGGTCATGGTCCATGCCTGTAATTCCTGCACTTGGGAGGCTGAGGCAGGAGAGTAACCACAAGCTCAAGGCTGAACCAGGCAAAAAAGTCAGTTCAAAGCTACCTTAAATTTCATAGTGAGATCCTGTCTCATAAAAGCAAAAAATTCTTACAAACCAAAGACAAGTATGCACTTGAATGGAGCTCAGTGGTAGAGCAGTTTCCAAGTAGAGATAATGCCAGGTCAGCGCAGCCCCACACCCACCCCGCCACAAAAGAGAAGTGTTGTCAAGGGTTTGGAGAAAAGAGAAATCTTGATCCTAGAAAAATGTAACTTTTTCACATAAAAAAGGGATAATATGAAAATAAAAGGGAACTGTCAGAGAAGAGGCAGAGGACAAGGAGACATCAGGTGGTGAGGGAATTACAAAAGCACATTGCATGTTTGAATAAATATGCCACAACTAAACCTGTAGTTCTGTATAATTAATATGCCTAATACAAAAGACAAATAACTCTAGTACACTCCTGGTAAACTTAAATTTGCAGTTATTTTAGAAAACAATATGAAGGTTCCTCCAAAAACTGAAACTAGGACTGGAACTGCCCCCACGTGACCCAGCAATGCCATTTCTGGGGATGGAGCCGCGTGAATTGAAATGGCTCTGAGAAGGGTCACAGTTCAGATTTGCACCTACAATAGGTGGGACTGGGGCTTTTTAGACATGAGCGTTAGTCTGGAGCAATGAATTTAAGAGAGAAGACCTGAAAGTTTTCTGGCTGTAGGTGTGGTAAGAGTAGTTTTATATCGTCTTTGTTATTTTGGATGTAAATGTCTTGGTTTGAGGTAGACTTCATTCCCTGATAAAATTGGTAAGGGAGTCCTCAGGCTTTGGAAACAAAGCTTTAGCAAAGTTTTGTGGAAGTTGGCAAATTAGGAAGAGCAGTGGAAAACAATCTCCAAAAGAGGATGACAGAGGGAGTGCTGTGGTCAGTGATGGCCACACAGCAGGTGGGATGGACTGAGGAGATGGGGTGGCATGGATGTGTACGAGATCTAATGACATCTTCTGGGTTTGCAGCATCTTCTGAATTAATACAGGCTGCAAGGAGTGAGAGGCACAGGCTGTAAGACACTGGAATAGAACAAACCCGGAGTTTTTCATAAATAGAACTGCTTCCACGAAATGTGGAGGCATTTCAGTCACTCCAGGACAGTTTTATTCAATGGTATCAAGTAGCAGGCTACACATCGTATTTTTCTGCCAAGAAGCTGAGCTAGGAACCCAAAAGTGAATGCAGGTTTGGCATTTACATGTCAACAAAAAGGCTTATTGGAGAAGGGAGATTGGAAATTCACACAGAGGTAGAGGCTGAGTTGAGTGTATAGAAAGTAGGAGACACAACGAGGAGGACAGTGAGGAGAGACTGAGGCCCCCCAAGGGGGCGTCACAGAGAGGGTGAGTTGTGAGACCAAGTGTGGCAACAAAGCAAAAGTAATTAGCAAGCTGCCAAAAGAAAAGGAGATCATTTCTATCAATACTTACTTTGTATAACTGGATGCTCTGGAATTTGGTGCATATATATTTAGGATTGTTATCTCTTCCTCTTGAAATTTTTCTTTAACCAGTATGTAATGACCTTCTTTATCTCTTCTGATCATAATGGACACAGCTTGAGACCATACTCATAAGCGAAATAAATCAAACTCACGTGTATAAATACCATATAGTCTCCCTAGTTTAAGAAATGGTAAGAATACCTAAAAGTATGTGTAATCATGATTCCCCATTACATGGATTTAAAGCCTTATAATGTTTTCACTCATTAGTTGGAATGGTTTTATTCTGGGTTGTTTGATTTTATTCTCTGTGATGGTATGAACAGCTATTTTGAAGAAAACAAGACATTATAATAGCTAGTGCTGATTTAATATCATCTTGTTTTGAAGTCCTGCCAAGCCTTTGTTCTTCTGTCTCCATCGGTTTTATCATGTTGTATCTTATTGGATTTTATTATGTGTGATAGTAAAAAACAAAATTTTTTATAGACAAGGAGATAGTATAGTAACCATTGTTCATTTTCTGTTAGTTGGTTCTGAATACCCTGTAATGCTTTCATTCTCTTGAATGGTTTTATACTGTTTTGTTATGTTTGATACTATAGTGTATGAAGGTATACTCAAATATTTCAAGGAAAGAGACACTATGGTAGCTACTATCATCAGGTTATTTTGTGGTGAAACACTATGTTGCCTAAATTGTTCTATTCTGATCTGTTTTGTTATGTCCTCTTTTATCTTAATCTTTTTTTAAAATAAAAGTAAAAAAAGGAGATTGGAATTTGATTGGGGTGAGGGGATCTGAAAGAGGAGGCTTTGCAGTCTCCTGTGATTCCCTTAGGAACAGGGGGAAAATGAAGTTCAGGGTAGGTCACCTCAGTCTGAGAAAACTGGTTTTTGTCTGGAGATCACATTATGGTTTGGAAAATAAATAACTTAACAGCGCCTGTTATTTATGGATTCATAAAAGGGTTGTACCATTCAAAAATCATCCACATATTGAATATGGCACCTAGGGTTTAGGGGAAGAAACAGTGATCTTTAGCCAGTTTGTCTAAAATGGCATGGGCTGTCACAGAACCCCTGAGAAAGGACAGTTTAAATAAGCTCCTGGGGATTTTCAGTGTTAGAAAACATCCAGGTAAAACTAAAAGTATTTGGGGACCAGGAGTCAAGAGAGATATATAGATATTTGAGGTCAAGAATTGTAAAATGAGAGGTATCTGGCAATATTGAGGAGTGAATGTGGTTGGGTTAAGCACCAAGAGGATTGTGGTAGGGAAATGTTATTGATAGTGTGGAGTTATTGTGCTATATAACAGGTTCTGTTTGGTTTTTGTTGGTTAGTTTGTTTGTTTATGGGTAGGGGAGAGCTGGTGGGGCTAAGGAGTCTGGGACTTAGAGGAGGTTGGAGATTCATTGGGGGTTCCAGTCCCTGCGTGGCCCGTGGGTTAAGGGGCTACTGTACCTGTTGGGGAAGGAGACAAAGTCTTTGATAACCTTAATAAAAATGTGATGAGAAGCAACTTAGTGGTGAATGGGGCCCCACAAGATGAGGTTGAACTGTTAGGCAGAACCTGAGTCAAAGTCTGTGTAATCTGGGTAGATGATAAGGGTGGGCTAAGGAAAGACTAGTTAAGGCTGGGGAGCTTTGGATGGTAATGGCAGAAGGCACTTTTGGAAGCACATGTCACCTCATTAATGGAATGGGACAGGTGGGAAGTGATAGA